TAGGATGTTATCTAGGTAAACTATACAGAGGTGATCTAATAGGCCTAATAGGGCCCGATTGATATAGGACTAGAATGTAGTAGGGGCATTAGCTAGCCTAAATAGTATAACTAAGTACTTAAAATAGCTATAGCGAGTACGAAAGGCTGTCTTCTATTTATCGCCCTTACGAATACAGATGCGGTAATAGGCGTCCTTAATGTCTAATATAGTATAGTAGTAGGTACTAGAAAGGCGATCGAGGGTCTTATTAATAAGAGGAAGTAGACAACGATCTTTAATAGTAACAGCATTAAGCCTACGATAATCGACACAAAGGCGCAGGCTACTATCTTTCTTTAGTACGAATAGGATAGGGGCACTAGTAGGGCTGTTACTATACCGTATCCGGCTATTAGCTAGGTTTTCCTCTAGGTACTTACGTAACATAGCAAGCTCTCGTTTACTAAGGTTGTAAAGGGGTCCAAAAGGGACCTCTTTACCCTCTATAATATCAATCTTATAATCCGTCTCTTTAAACATAGGCAATGTCGATGCTAAGTGGTATTTAAACACATTAATATAGGTCTCTCGAATAGGTTCTAGTATACGCTTAAGCTGTTTAGGATCTATGCTATTAGGGGGCACTAGTTTATCGTTATTACTACCGAGCAGGTCGGCAGTTAGATTAGCTAAGGCGGGAGTTAGGTTGCTAATAAATAGGACCCTAATATTATTAGGACACTCGCTAATATCGATATATTTAATATCCTCTTTCCTAACGATTCTAAATCGCTATTATTAACTGCCTAAGTCTATAACTATAGTATAGTACTTAAGAACAGGGTTGCTAATAACAATGTCGAATAGGAGGCTGTCTATGTCTACCACGTAGGCAGTAAAGTTTAGTAGGCGTTCATTTCCGAGGTCGTCCTTTAGAGCTATATAGACATAGTAGGCTCCGTAGGTTAAGTGCCGAGCGTTATTAAACTAAGCAAGGGTTAGCAGGTTAGTCTTCGGCAGTTGTCGAAGGTCTAATTGCTTAGCTAGGCGATAGCTAATAAGGGCGCTAACTGAATTTCCGGGGTCTAGTATAACCTTTACCTTATAGTTAGTGTCGCGCCTAGATATAAGATAGGTACGTATAATAGCTAGCACAATGTCGATAGTCTTACGCTGTACGAGGCTAACAGTTAGTGCGGCGCTTACTCTTTTTTCGAAGGTTAGCCTATAGGGGTAGCGTTAGCTACTAAGAGGTGCTTTCGGTGCTTAGCGGCAGCACGGTCGATTCGGGCCTAGTCCTTAGGTTTGTCGCATTGGCCTAGTAGATAGCTAGTGCTATTATAGTTAAAGCACTTTAATCCGGTCGGGAGATTGTTGCCGTAGCTATTATTGCTACTATTATTAGTCGAGCGGTTAGCATTATAGGGATACGAGCCCCTTCTACGGCCTCTATTATAGCCTCCTCTATATAGCCGTCGGCTACGGCTTCTCCTATAGTCGTTGCTACTATTCCTATTGTTAGCACTATTGTTCTAGTAGGAACCTTAGTTTCCTCCGCAGCTACGATAGGTAGCTAGGCGTATCTTAGATTCTAACCGTTATTAGAGCTATACTATACGCTCTGCAGTCTCGACTTTAACTATAAATTGAATGCGTATAAGATTAGTCTGTTTAAATATACGGCGGCGGTCTAATTTAAGGACTAATTCTTATCGCAATTTAGGGCGTATTTCGGAAATCTAGATAGAGTCGGTCTTAGCTAGCAAATCGTCCTCGAGGGTCTTTAAATAGGCCTTAAATAAGCGAGCCGATTAATTAGTCTTTTGTTTAGCTCGAAGGTATTAGTCCTAAGCGTATTGTTGCCTTAGTATAGAGTTTCTAAGGGTGTCTAGCATAATAGTCTTATAGTCTTGCTACTAAATAGCGGTCTAGTCGTAAAGGGAATTAAAATGGTTATCCTATATACGCTTTAGGTCGCTATTAATGTACTATATAGCGTGTACGACTAAGGAATAGTCGTCTAGTAGCGCTCTTAGTGCGTTACGCTAGTTAAGCTTACAGTTACGAATGTAGTCGTTGTACTGCTTTCGGCTAGAGCTATTAAACACGGTGCAGTCCTTAAGTTTAGTATCCTTCTTCTAGACTAGGACTAATAGTAAGGAAGGCCCTACTATCGGCCTAGTGTTAGTTGTTAGGGCCTCCTAAAGGCGGCGAATTTCGAGGAGGTTGTCCTTTAGCTATTGTTCTTAACGTAGAGTAGCGAGCCTGTTTCGGGTAGCTTCTTAAAGTCTCGCTACTAGCTAGGGGCTAAAGGCTAGTTAGCTATATCGTCGATTAACAATGTTATTAAGTATATCGTTAACAGGCAACTCTAGGTCGTTACCTAGAACTATAGGTTCTTCGGCAGGCCTAGTAGTAGGCTGTTTAGCAGGTACTTTAGCAGGTGCTCTAGTAGGCAATTTAGTAGGTACTTCGGTAGGCGCTATGCTACTAGTATTGTTATTGCTAGCGCTGCTAGCGGCGCCGCGGTTATTGTTTCGTAATAAACTAGCTATTATAAGGGGCGACACTAATAATGTATTATAGGCCCCTAAGATACGGATATAGCGGAATTAGTAGGTATCGGCTTAGTACGATTAACTTAGTATAATAGGCCGTATAGAAGGCCTTGCTTAATAATTAGTATAGTTGTTTCGATAGAATAGTACGTATAGGTCCCGTTCTTTAGGCGTAATATAGTTAGATCGATAGTTTTCGTAGCTATACCGCTAAAAGCTTGAAATAAGGACTATCTAGCTGCTACCCTTAAAGGGTAGATCGAATACTATATAAGAAGGGTTATATTAGCAGGTAGATAGGGTAGTAGTAAATTAGTGTAGTATTCGATAGAGATCTAAAAGGAGAGGGAGGAAGGCAGGCTAGTTAGCCTAACGCCAAGCGCCAAGCCCTGCCTAAGGCACTAAGACCCTAGCTTTACTCGGCCTAATTATATGCTAATTACGTGTAGCCTCTTTGGCCCTAACAAGACTAAAGAAGCCGTTATATTAGGCCTAGTTCAATTAAGCTACATTCTTATTAAGTAACGCGCTAATAATGTTGTTAAGGGTGCTATTATTAATAGTGTATTCTAAGGCGCGCATTTGCTTACGGCGCATCTATACGAAAGCCTCGTAGAACAGTGCGATTTACATAATAAACATATAAACAGCCTAATATTAGCTAATAGCTAATTTAGTGTCCTTTAAGGCACCGAGCTTCTTCTTATACTTATTGCAGAACTTCTTAACGTCCTTACTATTATACCGAAGGGTAATATATTCCTAGTAGAGCATGAATTTAGTAGACCTACCTTTACTAGTATATTTCTTCTTAAGGAAGTCCTATACTTCCTAGGATATAGATAGACTAAGTAGTAATTATTAAATATTACCGATATAATTAGCAAAGATCTAGGTACGCGCTGTTTGATCTTTAGAGTCCTATTCATCTTAGCGGTCTTTAAACTCCTTAGAAGACTTACTAGAGGTCTTAGAGAGGGGTCGCTAGCGGATATCTTATATATAGCGCTAGACCGATATATCTTTAAGAGCGCCTTTAGCGGCGTACGACTATAATAGATAATTCTCCTTATTCTTTAGCTTAGGAATGTTGCTTATATAAGCGCTAGAGGTTGTAGGGGGAGCTATTACAGATAGCGACGGCGATAATATAGAAAGGGGCGGCCGATAGGCGCGCCTATATTCTAGTATAGCGGATAGCTAATACTAATATTAGAAACCGGTATAGCGGATAGCTAACACTAACAGTAGCCGACTCGAGTCTAGCACCTGCTAGAACACTCGAGAGCGGCGAGGGCGGCGACGATATTAGTATCGGCGCAATTTTTAGTAATAAGCGCTATCTACGTAGCAGTCGGAGTAACTATTAGAATACGTAGAATGCGTGTTAGAAACGTAGGGGGCTCATAACCACTTGATGTAACTAATATATTAGAAGAAGGACTAATCTATCTAGAAGTCCGAAGATGAAGTGCAGCAGTTGCAGCCTCAGGCATTAGGCACGTGATGGACCCTGACACCTGGACACACACTCCAAGTAAATCTCCAAGACAACATTCCCGATCGAAATCTTACGTGACAGAATCTTGTCGAAGGAGAAGGACTTCAGCTCCCGTAGCGCATTGAGCCATTGGCAGAAAGCTACTCTACCAACGTACAGCTCGCGTCCATTGCACTTTTCCAAGAGTAATCATACATCTTGGAGTGATTCTCTCAAGAGCGCAGCGTCGACGGTGCCTCTGATTCAACGGGAGGAGGATTCCAGATCTCAAGAGCTAGATGAAGTCGCATTGCTATTCTTGGTCCTAAGCAGCACCGTCACGCGTCACAGGACCGAGGGCGCCGCATAGCTACCAGTCATACTGAAGCATAAAAAGCCCAAAGGTACCCGGCTGCAATTGCGAGATCTGTGACAATCATATACAGGGAAAAGAGCGGAGTAAAGTGGTCTCCAAGCTGAAGACATTGGTTGCTAGCTGTGAGACATATCCACTCTGCCGATGCTGTCCCACAGGATAGGTGATGATTGATAGGGCAAGTGCAGTATACATCTCGCTTGATTGAGAGATTAATGTTGATAAAACGAGATCCATTCTACAGGTATCTGTCCGAGTTCTCGCTCGTAGTGATCAATGTTGGACTTGAGGATAGTCGGCATTTCGTACGTCCATCGTGGCAGAATGGATTGAGTTAGCATCAGACGGGCAGAAGAATCATGACGGCTAAGAGAAGGCGCTAAATATGGAAATTCGCTCAGCGCCATCATTTGACGAAGGGATCGTGGCCGACAAAGTCGCTTTTAATAGTGTCGAGGCAGAATCCGAATACACCCCAGCAGAACTCAAACGCTCGCGATGGAAGATCGATGTATGCCTTCTGCCACTTATGTGGTTCTGCTAAGGCAGACAGCAAGCAGACAAGACCGCTACAGGTGTGACGAGCGTCTTCGGGAGCCGATAAGAGACTCACCTGGAAGGCCAGCAATTCTCTTGGTTGACTACGATTTTCTACGAGACGCCTGGTAATTACCTCGTCCAGAAGTTCCATGTTGGTCGGTTTCTAGGCATTTGCATCTTCATTTGGGGAATCATCGTCCTCTGCATTGGCTTTGCTGACAACCTCACTGAACTCATTATTCTTCGATTCTTGCAAGGTACTTTCGAGTCCACTATCTCTCCAGCCTTCCTTTCCATCACGGGCTCAGTCTATATCACCAAGAAGCACACGCTTCGTGCCGCGATTTGGGGCACCGCAAATGCTGGAATGAACGCCATCACTGGTCTCATCAACTATGGTATTGGTGACGCTGCAAACGATCCTCCTAGCGGGCTCAGTGCCTGGCACGGTATTGCATTCTGACTCGGCGTCCTGGCGTTCTTCGTTCTGGGCACACCACGAGAGGTCATGTGGCTAATAACAGCGTGAACAGCGAAACGAATGGCGGCTGCTCGAGTGGTGGCAAACCAGGCCGGAACAATGCCTGAGAAGCATGCAGAGTGGAAGTGGAGTCAAGTCCGCATCGCGTTCAAGGATCCGATCCGCAGACATATATTACTCTCACACGATCTGATGCCATCTACTTGCGGCTCTCTTACCCATGAACTGACTCACTTCCTGCTGCAAAGCTTTGCAATCGTGGCACAGTTTTACCCCTGGAAAAGACGCCGAGTTTCGCAGATACTGTACCCAGCAATACGCTCCACAAGAACCACAAGTCGAAACGTTCTCGTGTTCCCGGATGAAAGAATCGTCCGAGAGACCGACTCGTACAGGCTCTACATTTGCATCCTCTGTGAACGTTCGTCAGACCTGTGAAAATGCAGAAAAATCGCGAGTATGGCTGTGCGGCCACCATCAGAAGACTGGCTACGATCATCTCACAGGTCCTTCTGTGGAGTCGCTACGACGCTCGAGTGACAGGCCATCTTGGTCCTGCATGGGTATAGCAAAGTGCGATACCGTTGATATTGTCTATCAGACTGTGACATGTGGAGAAGCTCTCTGTCGTGAACCCATTTCAAAGCCTGCTAATCTTTCATGACAGCTCATCTAGCTGCATATGCCAGGCAAACAGGTAGGACATCTTTCCGTGATCCGAGCCAGTTGTTCGGCAACCTTCCATCTTCGATTCATTCCTTGGGATCTTCACCTACCACGAATGGTAGGAATCGGCAAAACCTGTATGCGGTTTCACTCCTTAGCGTCCGGCGGGCCACCAAACCGTCACCGTTATACAAGGCTTGGGTATGCTCGGCTCGTGCGGTGGTGCAGAATCTTGTGATCGCTCAGAACATACGGGAGGAAAGATTCCAGGGCAATAGTCGGATCGTCAATTTGCCTGGACAGACGGCCACAGTACAGCAGATGTGGATCGTGGCCGGCCGCGTTTGATACCTCGTTGGCGAAGGAACTGGATTTCTAGAATGATGTTAGTCTGGAGTGGGCTTTCCGTGATCATAGTAGGAATAGTAATACTTGAAGCAGCCGTTTCGATTCAGTCATCAGAGATGAGCGATTGCTCCAAGGAACTTCGGGCCCACTCTGTAGCTAGAGCTTAATACGGACTACTAGGGTCTACTTTACTCCGATACGAAAGACGCTATACACAAAGGCAAGGATTAGGGCACGTTTTAGCTATACTAGACAAGTGTGAGGGTAATGACTCCGCTGTATAACCGTGTATGCCTGACCTTAGGGGCACGGAAAAACTCTCGGGCCGAAACAAGCATCCCACATGCGAGTCGCAGCTCCTCCAACCCGGTTCAAGCAACATGAAAGTGCAATTATGCTGCCAGAGAGCGCCGATAGTCTCACTCCCACCATAGACCTCCGCAAAATCCATCGTGTGGACCTAGAACGCCTGCCCGCAAAAGAGCAGATCAAGATCATAGCCCTCGGATGCATCGCGTGCCTGAACAAAGGCGACCTGGGCGGCGAAACCTCCCCAGTCCTGGACTACTTAGCCCCAGGCTGCCTCGTTGAGCCAACACTCGATGGACAAGACCAAGATACGAAAGATCTTGTGTCGCCGTTCGAACGCATGGCTATGTATCGCAAGATATTAGAAGAGCATCCTGAGTTTCAGATGCATGTGGACGGACTTGATATTCAAGTTGATGAAGAGTTGGGAAAGGCTGTAGTTTATGTTTATGGGAGCACGACGGGGTTACATCCGGGTGTGAGTATTGGGCGGGTAGGCGTGCTCGAGTATAGGAGATTCGAGGGGAGGTGGTTGAGTACAAAGTACATGGGTGCGAGGGGCCAGAGTATGGTTTGAGGGCGGATGTAGACGCATAGTTGGAAGAGCGAACATCAAGTCTTCGAGGCCGAACTTTCCTGCCTAGCGCAATATGGATAGGACAGCCGGACCTCCCGTATTACGCCATGGATCGAATTTTGAAAAACGTCAGCTATGAGCCATCCAGGATTCAGTAAGTTGTTCAGTTGATTTATTACGTCACAAAGACGCTCACCCAATACTCAACTCTGAACCAGAGCTCAAATCAGACCAAGACCAGCTTCATATTGAAAAGTGCCAACAAAATTCAGCAACCTTACTGCCATTATGGTTGCCATTCACTTATTCATCTTGACGCTCTTCATCGCAACCCTCACCGACGCCTTGGGTCTCACCCGCCGAGGGCCTTGTACAAAGGTCCCGTACTCCAAAATCCCATACTGCAAGAAAATGGGCTGTGGCAACGAAGGCTCCAGATCTGATCTTGGGAGGCGATGAGGTGCCGGGATATTTGGCTTTTGCTGGGTATCGGGAATCGCCGCTTCCCAGGTTGGCTCTCACACTTCCCAGGCAACCTCACCTCTCCCAGCTTTCGCCAGTAATGCTCTTTCATTACCAAAAAATATCACACTTTACATTTACCGTCCCAGGAGTCCACAAGAACTATCATGCGATCCGACTCGAACTTCGAAAGCACGTCAACGAGCAGCATGCACCAGCCACAGGTGGGCGAATTCTAGAAAGAGAAAAACTTCATGCTTCCATATCACACGTCCTGCCCGGCCAACCAGAGAAAATAATGGCGAGCACAGTCTGTCAAAAAAAAAACGACATGAATGCGCAACAATGCATGCATTCTGAGCAACCACCCCGCCAAGCCACACAGAAGACGCCGAGGACGTTTATGAAAAGGCTGCCACAATGTGCACGTCAAGGCTTTTGAAGAGCTATATTCAGACATTTCTCATCACACCATTTCAGGCCACCTTGTTGGCCTAGTGGTATAAACCCCACGAAAGCCTTTCCGACAAGCGCCCGGCCGGGTACCGAATATGTCATATCCCATGGCAAGATGCTTGTTCCCTAAGATAACCTGCTTTCGAGAATACTGTTCGTCGTCGCTCCCTCTTAGGGCCGAGTAGATGAAGCACCTAAAGGGTAATAAAGTGAAGCTGCCTGTGGCCTTATCTTGTTGCTCCGATTTTCTAACATGTCCGCATTTGTTTAATATAGTATCCTTTTCGCAAATAGCTCCTAATCGCGTTTTGTATTACTTTTAATATTACTTTGCGTATGTATTAATAGACTTTATCTAAGGCTCGAAAGTGGCTAGTATAGCAAGACAGTTTAAGGCCTTAGAGGGCGGTTATGTTGTTTTTAGTTTTATTATTAGGGATACTAGCGTCTGTAACGAGTCGGGCTTAAGCGATCCCCTTAGTTAACTCGTTGCTACTCGGCGCTCGTCGGCAAAACTAGGATTATAGTCTACTTCTTATACAAATTCTGTCGGTACGTACTTATATAAAGCGGGTCTGACTAACTAGACCGCTTAGATCTATGCGGCAGTTCTTCGGACTTAAGCTAGGAGGCGGTTAAAGGGATTAGTAATAGGGTCTACTAACCTGTAGATAGTATATATACGACCCTTTTAGGCGAGCTCGTTATGTATACACAAGGCGGAGTTATCGGATACGCTAATATCCCGCCTACAACCCGCCAAGCTGCTTAATATTGCTCGGATATCCTAGTATTCGGGCATACCCGATGTGTATCCATGGGTGTATACCAGTATAATATACGATGTATACAACCTCCATTTCTCAGGGGCTGTAAAACCACAACACTAAAAGGGATGCTGGATCGGTGAGGGTGGCATGCTGTAGCTAAGGCAGTATACAGTAGGCTGTAGAGAGGTAGCGTAGAAGGATTGGGTACAGTACATAAGGGAGGAATGCGATGCCGATGCCGAGAGGGATTCCGCGCACCTGCGATCGGAGCACAGCGACGGCTCCAGCTGTATAAAGAGGCCTTTGCTAATCGCTGCCAGAACAGGACGCGCTAGTCAGTTTCTCTTAGACAGAATGTAACATTCGATGATGAAAAAGCTAGCGCTAGGCTCGTATGACGTGGTGGATGCATGGTGGATACCCACAGTGGTCTGTATGTCGCCGAGGAAACCAGCGGCGATGAGGCCTCCGAAGATTGTGCGACGACGTTCCCGCCGTTGAAAAGGGTGACTCGTAGGTGCACTTCTGATCGCGCAATTCACACAGGAAAGCACGTCAACGCTGTCTCTGGTCAATCAGCATTCGAACCTCACCTCACAGCAGCGCCACTATACCATAAGCAGCAAGAATACCGCCACAATGCCACACTTTCCAAGCTCTGCACGTCAGCATCCCAGGCGGTTTATGCTTGTCACCAACCCTCGCACTTGCTCCAATCTCTTGGTCCGCATCCTGGGCCTGGACAATCAGCCACACACCAAGCATGGCAGCTACCATCTCCTTGGCTGCACGATCGCCATGTCCACGAACAACCTGTGGGAAAAGAACGCCGATGAATGGACGGAGGAACAGAGACAGTTCACACATGGAGTATACAAGAAAGGGATCGAGGATCTGGAGGGAAATTTGACACCAGGCCCCGAAGACAAGATCTGTTTCACCAAGGAGCATGTCGAGACTTTTATCGAGCCTACGACTTTGTCGAAGTACATCCATGGACATCACAAGGCTGAGCCCTTGACTTTTGACATCCCTGGATACAGCTCTGACAAATCTGCTGGCAATGAGACAGTTTTTCCAGACGCATACCTAGAGTCCTGGAATCCGATCTTCTTGGTTCGACATCCGGCTAGAGCGTTCGAATCGGTATATCGATCTTTCATTGATGTCGCGAAGACTCCTGTGAGCGCAGGTTCGAGCCAGAAGTCGATCGACGGATTTATTGAACTCACTATGACGCTTAGCTGGACCCGGAAGCTGTACGAGTTTTACGGATCTCGTGGCATGGATCCTATCATCATCGATGCGGACGATGTTGTCGTCAACGCGGAGCCGTTGACACACAAATTGGCGGAGTACATTGGATTCGACACCAATGCGCTCCAATATAAATGGAACGAATGTTCGAAGGACCAGAAGGAGAAGCAGGAGGCACATTTTCAGAGGATGTTGTCGTCGCTGAATGAGTCGAATGGCGTCAAAGTGGACCCTGCGAAATTGTCCAGCAGTATCAAGTCTGCGGCAGAGCTTGTGCCGAAGTGGACTGAAGAGTTTGGCGAGGCGACTGCCAAGAAATTGGAGCGCTGGGTTGAAGCTGCGATGCCAGACTATAATTACCTGCGTGAGAGACGGATGAGGCCATGAGTACAGAGTGACTCAGACCGTAACCGGCGTTCACAGTATAGACATCATGGCGAATCGAGCTTCCACCTTATGCGTCTGCGTTCAGTCGTCTTGCATGGCCGAATGTTTGTCTCCAGGTCCGTAATGCTTGGTCGACAGCTCAGTCAACGGACTCGACGATCAGAATTTCCAAGGCTGGTTCCAAGAATCCGGATCACATCAATGGTTTGTACATGCTTAGATCACATCAAAATCCCATGCCGTGTGTGTCCATCATGGTTTCCAGGATCGCAACGAGTGATCGTGCATGATTACAGGGCTCATTGCACCATTATGAGTGGCGCAAGCTCGTGCGGTGGCACAGCAGGTGCGATAAGGCTGAGATGTCATGGAGTAGGTGGCCCGCGCCTTGACAATGGCTTGAGTTCGTGCAATGAAACTTAGTTCGCTCCTAGCTATAGCAGAGAGGGCTTGTCCAACGTCTTAGGCTCGGCGATGTGGCCTTTCCTGGCTCTAGGCACTTTCGCTTGCATGTGGATGTTGTCAAGTTGTCTCATGTTCCATGGGCTAAGCATCCACCGCAGCATCATTCGAGGCCAGTCTTGATGCTGGGAAGTCGCTCTGTGTCTCGTTTGGTGATGTCTTGGCTTGAACAGTACCTCCACTCAGGCGCTTCGCTTTCAAGCTCGCACGTGTATAGTGACTTCCTTCATCTGAATAGCCACGTTTCGGTTCCTGTACTGCTTTCAACATCGCATTTGAACGTGCTCCATCCAGAGAGCCATCGGCCGCGGACGAAGCTTGCCCACAGTCTCGTCGACGGCTTGGAGACACGAAAAGGCGATGTAAAATGCTGATCCTTGGCAGAATGAATTGTGTCCTTTGGTCTGGCCGGTGGACACCGACAATGCCGTCAACGCTGGTCAGCTTCGGAACGCTTTCCAGGTGGTCATTGCAGGCAGCAATGGATACAACAAGCTCGTAACACTGACACCTTCGGAATCCAATTCAGTTGTCAACCTTGGCAAGCGCGCAATCTCAGTGTCGACTTGCAGGGATGGCACGAGAACAGGCATCAGGCAGGTTTCCCTGGCTTCTGCGAACGGTGCTGGTCCACTGAACGTCACCTTCTGCGTTGGTTGGTGCGATACAGAGTATACCAGGACGAGGCCTTGTATGACAAAACTTATACTGGTCTCAATGGCAGCTCGTAAATGACAGTGGCAGGAGAGCTTCATGGACTGTCGATATCTGCCCGCTTAACGCTGAAAGATTTGTAACCGAAGTCGAGCTCGCCGCTCTCCGAATACTTCGCGTAGACCAGTGTGCCAAGTGAAGAGCGGTAGTATGGCTTCGGTGCACCAACATCGGAGATATCGCATTCAATAATGCGCGCCCCTGCAGGAACTTGGTGACATTCAAAATTGACCAGATCGTGGTCACCCAGGATCTCTCGTGCGAAACCTTCTTCCAGATCAATGACGGCGTCGTAGTATGAACCCAGGAAATCGCTATCGAAAACGCCTCGCATGTCCATTGAACGTATCAGTGCAACCCCCTGCCGCCGCATGATCGAGTTGCGACAAAGCTCGACAATCAGACACAGCGTCATACCCAAGCTCGTGCCCACAGCAGCTGCAGGGCGTGTTTTTCGGACCGATCTTGAAACAGAATTCGGCGATTCCATCTTTGTGTCTGGGCGCTGTAGTTCGAAATACTTCTCAATAAGGCCCAAGATGTGTTTGAACTGCTCTTCGAAGCGATCTATTTCCATCAAGTCGCGGTCACGCCAAGAGCATACGATGAGCCACAAATAGAAGAAATGAATGTCCACTAGTGCTCTTGAGGGATCGAACTCTTCCGTGGCGGGTACGAAAGCCAAAGCATTCATGAAGTTGAGCAGCTCTTGCTTCACTTCGACCACTTGCTCCACAATGCTCGGATATGACTCGAGGATTTGGTCCATAAAAGCCATGGCCAAGCAGTCCCAGGCAGGCTCGTCTAGAGACACCATGTCAGGCCGTTCCTCGCGGAAGTCGTTCTCGGCTTGTGTGTACCACCCGCCCCAAACATCGTTCACCTTGCGCTCCAACGCATCCAGGTGCACCATTGCTTCGTCTAATGATTTGAATGTTCCAGGTACCGGTTGAGAACATGTTGGAAATAGATAAGCATCCTCGTCCAAAAGAAGGGCAAGGTCGGCATCTAGTCGAATGAATGTCTGAGTCAAGATGTCCATTCTAGTCTTCGGCTGCACCTGGAGTGGAACGAGTCGTTTTCCCGCAGATGCTCGCTTGCCCTGCGTACGCTCTATCTGCTCGAACAGGATTTTGAGGCCATTGCGGAGATGGATGAAGGAGGCAGCATCGTTTCCTTGGAGCACGTCAAAGCTGAATAGCAACAGACAGACCGTCAATACAAGCTCTGCCTGGCTAGCCGGGTCTTGCTTGTAGAAGGGTTCGATGCAGCTACGAAGCGTGAAGATAGTCTTGTTGTACTGCATCAGGGCCAATCGTGTATGATCTTGTCTCTGTTCCGAGATATCTGCAGTCATGGCTCGACTAAGTGAGCCGAGGGCAGCGGCGGCATGCATGATGGCTGGTTCTGTCTGGCAAAAAGGCAGAATGAGACGATGCCAGTTCATGAGCCAGTTGTTTCCGGGCAGATGTTCGAAAGCCCTTTGGCGAAAGTAGTCGAACGCATATGCCTCTGAGCTCGTCAAAGCACAGGATGACGAGGCCAATGTGGGGATTAGGAGGTTGATATCAGCTTTGGGTCGGAGTTGGACGTGAGTATTTGGTGTGGGAGACGAGGAGCTTTCGTAACCGGAACATTCCTTGCCAGCACTGATGCATTTCTGGCATATCGGCCGGCGCTCGTCACACTTTATGCGTCTCTCTTTGCAGGCTGACTTCTGGTCAGAAAAGCTCGGCTCGAGCAATATTCATGTGCTCACTTCGACAGCCTGATCGAACCTTGGCGTGCTTAGCTCGCTTGCGTACGACGGGGATGGTCATGGTCGCGTGCGGAAAGAGGAGCGTCTGCCATCGCCGAGGAGACCAACGCAGGAGCTCTGCGGTATTGAGGGTGAAAGGAGTGAGAAGTGGGGAGTGAGGGAGAAACAGAAGTTGAGCGTCGGGAGTGCGTCGAGTTCAAGCTTGGTCGGGAGCGGGGCGGAGCGGAGCGGAACGGAGGAGCTCCATCAATGCCACCGCCCGCCCGGTGCTTCTTCTTGAGCTGAAGCTGACTCAGCCAAGCCAAGACCGCACCGTGGTCCTCTTCCACCAGCTCCACGCTGCTCCCCGGCTCGATCCTCGTCTCCACCGTCCCGTGCACCCCGGGTGCCGTGCTGTCAACATTCACCTCTACCACCGACCATAGTAACACCTCCTTCATCTTCCACGTATAGTCAGCACCGGCCAGGTCAGCTCGCATGAGGCTTCGCACCGCCTTTCGACATTCGACACCATATCTTGAGTGGCACGACCAGCATGCACACTGCGTATGTCGATATGGAAGATCCCGATATCTTCCTCGGAAGGCCTCCAAGCTTTCTTCGTGTGCTGACATCTTCTCAGGATGCAGATGGACAGTGACTTAGATCAAGACATCAAATCAGCTGCTTTCAAGGAAATGTGCAGAGCATCACCGCTCGCTATCTATGGCGTCGGTATTTCTCCTGGTGCCCAGCTCCTTCGATCGACAGTCGGCTGCATCAGGTTCGAACTTGTTTGACGAGGGAGAGATGAAATCGTCTGCTCCTCGAATGTAAACCCGTGATGCTCCCGTCTGGAGGCCCCACAAGTGGATACAGTATTCGATGCAACGCAAATGGCTTCCAAGAGCTCTTGAAGGTGCATGTGCTCGCTGCCCAGACATTACAACAATGCGTACGCGAGTGGCCGGCAACGAATGCTCGCCTATGAGAAGCAGATTATTTCGCTTTCGAGTCTTCGGCGGCCGTTCTTGAACGCGCATTGATCGCACACGGGATGCCACAGAATTGCCGAGCGATGTATGTACTGTACGGGCCTGCTGTCTACGTGAGGACCTCTCACTTCGGTATCAAAGCCGTGAGCGGATCCCTTCGACTTCGAGAGCACGTGTCGGGCCGGAAACCGCTCCACTATAGCGAGCTTTTCATTTAGTGATGGAGCTACTCATACATGTGTATAGGTACACGCTCTGTAACACACTATGTACGCAGGGGCGGAAAATTTAGCTGGTGTGTACATACAAGGAGGAGTTATCGGATACGCTGATATCCTGCCTAACTGTATTCCAACATCCCTAGTTTCATTTACACTGCGGAGTGAAAGTGGGTATCTTCCTAATCCTTGAGAGGCAAGCATTACAGCGAATAGCAACTTGTTAGTACTCAGCGGTCCGCGCCTAGCCACTTTCACTATGAAGTGTAGAGACGTACTACTGTATACGCCAGGGTCTCAATCTTCGAATGGAAAACAACACCCTTGAGCTTTTCTGAGCCTCTCGATTCTTTCTCTTTGTAAGCAACGTCACAGAAAAACCGTACCGATCGAGTCGATACTGTCGACACAATCCACTCGATCGCTTAGATCGGCTTGGTTAGGCTCTGCCGTACTTTGATAATTCCATCTAGCAGGATCGCTACCTTCTAACATTTCTAGACAATCAAATACATACTACTAATCTACTGATCTACCAACAAATTTATTAGATAGACGGTATGAAGGGCCATTTCAAGCCTCTAGAAGTGACGTGTAGCTAGAACTTCCCGAAACAGCAGCATACCGGGGTGCCTGCCCAGTACAGGACAGTATCCGGCTTCCACCTGCTGCCGGCCACGGGCACTAGTCTAACTACCGACAGGCTACAGCATCGACCATCGACCAAACGTATATGCACGAGCATGACAGGGAGCGCCGTTGACCTGCACCATCCTACACCATGCCAGGGTCATATCAGGATCCGGATTCCACTGCTTGGCCGACATTCGCCAATGAAGTGGTGGCGATTGATGAGCACACCGAGCTCGCATGAACGTCTTCTCTTCTGATAAGAGCTGTACACCTGTTTCGTGAACTCAAGCTGCTCTGACTACTGTCGGCGAAGCACCATGGCGTGGCTTTTCGACAGCGTGCTGCCAAGTGAAGGGCTCGTCTATCCCAATATCCTCGCTCTGGCGGTTGCGATCATTACCATCGCAGTAAGCACCACAGCTATCTACAGGTTGTATCTGCATCCTCTTGCGAAGTTTCCTGGTCCATTCTGGGCTCGCTTGACAACCATTCCCTCGTACTGGCATACGCACAAAGGCGATCGTCATGTATGGCTGTGGCGTCTCCAGCAGCAATATGGTCAGTACTCTTTTCAATTCATGACCTGAAATCGCCGAAAAAGACACTCACTGACTCCTCCTCAAAGGCACAACATTCCGCTATCGCCCAGATGCCGTCTTGATCAACACACCAACAGGCTACCGCACAATCTTCGGCCCCAAAGGCAACGTCCGCAAAAGCGACTACTACCGCATCTGGCCCAGCGACTCCTCCGTCTCCAACGCCTGGAACGCAACCGAAATATCCATCCACGGCCCCAAACGTCGAGTCCTCAACCACGCCTTCTCGGAAAAAGCCCTGCGCTCCGCCGAACCCTTCATCCAATCCAACACCGACCGCTGGTGCGAACTCATCTCCAACCGCATTCCCAAATCCAACGAATGGAGCCCCTCCCTCAACATGACCAAGGAAATCAACCACCTAATCTTCGACATCCTCGGAGACCTCTGCTTCGGAAAATCCTTCGAAATGAAAGAACCCGCTTCAAAACTCCGTTACGTGCCCGAACTCCTCGCTGATTTTCTCGTCCTCATGCATCCCATCGGTTTCTCCCCAATCGCAGATTTCTGGGTATGGTTAAAACCTCGCGGTCTCGATGCTCTCCTCGCCTACACCGCTCCCGCCGCACTAGCAGGTTGGGAGAACTTCGTGGCAAAATGTCTTCAAGACCGCACGAAAGTCGAAGAAGAAGTCCGGGAAGGGAAACTCGAAGCTCGACAAGATTTCTTCTATTACCTCTTCGACGCCAAAGATCCCGAAACGGGGAAAGGGTACACGAGACAGGAACTTTACAATGAATGTGAACTTCTCATTATTGCCGGGTCGGATACGACGAGTATTGTGACGAGTGCTATGATGTTTTACATGTCACGGAATTTAGAGATCCAGGCCAAGTTGGCGAAAGAGGTTTGTGGGGCTTTTAAGTCGGCGGGGGAGATTCAGAGTGGATTGAAAATGCAGAGTTGCAGATATTTGCGAGCGTTTATTCAGGAAGCTTTACGCATGTGTCCACCAGTACCCGCAGACCTTGCGCGTCAAGTTCGAGCGGGAGGCACGACCGTCGAAGGGCATTACTTCCCCGAAGGAACGAAACTCTCCACGGCCCTCTACTGCCTCTCCTACAACGAGGACGTATTCCCAGAACCCTTCTCTTTCAAACCCGAACGTTGGATTCTGGGAGAAAGCGGTGGTTGCGCGACGGAAGAGAGTCTGGCGTTGGCGGAGAGTGGATTTTGCTCTTTTTCGACGGGGAGTAGGGGTTGTATTGGGAGGAATTTGGCGTGGATGGAGATGATGATTGTGATGGCGAAAGTTGTGTGGAATTTTGAGATTCGGCAGGATGAGGGGAATCCGCTGGGGGCGGGGGATGAGAAGGGGCCGGAGGGGAGGAGGTGTGTGGATCAGTATCAGGTTAAGGATGCTTTTGTTGCGATGAGGGATGGGCCTATGATTCAGTTTCGGAGGAGGACGCATGAGTGAGGGAGGGGATGATGAGATGAGATGAGATGTGGGTGGGATGATTGGAGGTTGCTTGAGGGATGGACGAAATGTATTCAAATTGAATAATGATAAGCAGCTATATGCCAGGACTTTTTAGAGTGTAATCATTCTGATGAAGCTGAACGGCCAAAGGCTGCTGGCCTTCATAACATCGAAAGATGTGATCAATTATGCACGAAGCCCGAGCTCACACTGTGTCTCGCATGCATCATAGCACGATATTCAACGCCAATCGATGCTTCCCGTGCTCTGATTCTGCAACCTGTCGGAAGTCTGATGCCTTGCGCCGCCGCAGTGCAACTCTAGTAGTCCCTCCCGAGCTTCTTTCCTTCATGCCAGAGCACAGCTCTCACGTATGTATAGCCATTCATTCGTCGGCATCGACATCGACATCGACTTTGGGCTTTGCATCTTCGATCCTACGCTTGAGCTCATCCCTCGTCTCCCGGTCAAATCCATATAACTCAAGCGCCACTCCTGGAGAAAGTTGTGTGAGCGGATCGAACCAGTCGAGGAACTGTTGGGTGGTAAACTTCATCGCGGTGGATACAGGCATGACCAGAGTCAACTTCCGAAGACTCTGCGCACGTTCGACAAAAGCCGATGTGAAGAATTTCGGAAGGCTGAAGTCCGCCGAGTGTTCATACGAGTGTTCATCTCTATCGCAGTGGCAACATATGACCAGCTCCAGCCGGATACTGTATATTCTGGACAAATCCAACATGCGACGAGCAAGAATGAGGTTCATATCATCGAAGCCATCCATGCAACAGTAGCCGAGATTGCCATAGATTTGGAGCTCTGGACTGGTGCGTGGGCGCGCGCAATCATTGCCGATTAAGACCTCCAATATCGCAGGCGAGACGTCTCGAAAAACGCCAACAGACTCCTTATGCACTTGCTTGGAGACGCGAAGAATTGGAGACGAACTTTGCGCTTCGTCTCTTGGTCGCGCGTCAGGAGCTGCTCGTACACAAGGTTGCGCATCTCTGGGGGCAGATCCATGAAGCGAAAGGTCCACTCCCGATCTAGCCGCTCGAGTCGAGCGATATACGCATTCCTAGAAGTTGTCAGTCATTGCGCCCCATGCATCAGCGAAAGCGACTATCTGGCAAGCGCTTGGATTCACGCGCGACGGAGCTCCAGAGTGGCAAAGCTCCGGAAATTGAATCCCCAGCGTGTTAATCAATTTTCATTAAGCGCCAGTAATGTTCGTCATCTTTTAGCAACTTTCAGCCAATCACGGGCATAGAACTTACCCGATACTACACTTTCGAACTAGGATGCCCTGAAAGTTGCTAAAAGTTAAGAAAGGCAGTAGCATTATCGGATGCCTAGAGCGTATCCTATTGCTTAAGCGTTTGTTTGCGTTCTAACAAATACGCCCCTCGTAGTAATTTATATAAGGGGCGTATGTATTAGCCTAGCGGATGTCCCCGTTGCTTAGCCGACCCGGATCTAAACCTTCTACTATATTCCTACGTAGGTAGATAGTATATACTAAAGAATTTATACTAGCGAGCCGAGTCTTAGGTATAATAACTATATCCTACCGAGAGTATATTATCGCTACGACCCGCCGTACGGCTTAACCGACGAGACGCTATTAACGACGAACACCCGGACTAAGCTATATCGAAATACAAGAAGAATATCGAAATATAAGAAGAGCTATATCTAAATATAAGAAGGGTTCCGCAATATACTCTCTATAGTAGGAGCGCTAGCTTCGCCGACTCGTAATCCAAAGCTAGTCTATTTGTCGATTGTCGAAGGCCTTTAGCGCGTCGGCGAGAAGGGCAAGCGCGGTCTTAAGATGTCTAGAAATGTCTATATATAGCTAGTTAATATAGCTAGTAGCACTAAGGCGCCTTTTAGATCGAGCGCTTTAGCTACTTATATCTTAAGCAGTATAAGGTTATACGGGTCTATACGATACTAAGACGACTATATCCCTCTACGACTTCTTCGCCGAGAATTACGGTATCTACTTATAGTCTATAGCCTACCTATCGGGGAGGCAAAGGAGAACTATTGCTTTAGCTTTAAGATAGCGACAAGGTCGGCTCCTGCTATACTAACTATTATCAACTTTTATCGACTTTTAGTAAGACCTATCGATAGGAGATCTACTATACGAAGCTACTATCCGATCCTTTAGCAATTTTTAGCAAGACCTATCGATAGGAGATCTACTATACGAAGCTACTATCCGATCTTTTAGCAACTTTTAGCAACTTTTAAGACCTAGTAATAGGAGATCTACTATACGAAGCTACTATCCGATCTTTTAGTAACCTTTAGCAACTTTTAGTAGGACCTAGTAATAGGAGATCTACTATACGAAGCCGATCTTCTAGCAACTATTAGCAACTTTTAGTAAGACCTAGCGATAGGAGATCTTGCACCTTAGATATTCGAACTTTTATTAATCTTTAGCAAGATATAGCGACGGTGGATATTGCACAACTTTTATTAACTTTTATCGACATTTAGTAAGATATAGTAACGGTAGATATTGTACAACTTTTATTAACTTTCATCAACCTCTAGTAAGAGATAGTAACGGTAGATATCGCACAACCTTTATTAACTTTTATCGACCTCTAGCAAGATCCGGCAACCGTAGATCCTGCCTAACTTTTATCGACATTTAGCAAGCCTAGCGATAGTAGATCTTGTACCTTACAAACCCTATATTCGAACTTTTATTAACTTTTAGCAAGACCTAGCAACTATTGATCTTGTACGTTAAGGAGCCCTAATCCGAAGTTTCATTAACTTTTAGTAAACTTATCTAAGTTTCAATAACCGGCGATAGTAGGTATTATATATTAAGAAGCCCCTATCTAGGAGTTCTTATCAACTTTCGGTATTTATAATCTTATAACACATTCGGCCCTTATATTATCTACTATAAGGGCAGTATATAGCTCGAGATGTCTACGGATCTTATAAGCGTTCAATCTCTAGTACCGATAGCAAAAGCATACTCGAACCGCTAACCTTTTAGCCGCAAGGTCTACTATCGAGTGTATCTACCGCTAGTTACAAGCTGTCCGCAAGAAGCAATAAAGACATCCGAACACTCTAAGGCTATTAATATGCCGCAGCTCAATTCGACGACTTTATCCGCTAAACAGGATAGATTATCGCTAACGATATAGAGTAATAGAGCTAGTCTAGTAAACGAGAAGCACACACATTATACTAACATCGCCGCGATAATAGTGGCACTAGAACCTAGAATCTAGCCTAATTAAAGAGCGCGGATATTACTTTATGTGTTTAAATAGCTAAAAAATAGATAATAGGTATAAGGACAAGACTTTAGCACAATAACAAGACCTTAGTAAAAGAAGATAGCTAGAGTAGGACTCGAACCTACGTACACTTCCCGAAGACCGACGAGGAAATACTAAGAAGAAGATTACGATATCTACTAGGTAGATACCGGAAGTTTTTCCTAGCATCTACTACGGTAGTCTTTAGTCGGTATATATAACCACTATACTATCCGGCTGAAAAGATGTAGAGATAGGCGCGGTATGATTTGATAGGATAGCAGTCTTTAAAGATAACATATAATACTTGCGAAGAATTATATAAAAATCCAAAAAGACTAAGATAGATAAAGAACAAGACCTTTGCAAAAGGACAACACGTTAGCAAAAGAATATAGCCCCTCCGAGATTCGAACTCGGGTTACTCTAGTATAAAAGAGACATTCTCGATCGAGTATTACGCAAGTATATAGATTGTAAACGCTCTCGCGCCTATTAGCAGTTTGTATAACTAGAGGTAGTGTAACTGCTTAATAGGCGGTCCTTAAGTAGTCTTCGAATGCTAGACGATTAGAACGACGACCTAATAAAATTCGAGGATCGATACAAGCCTAATCCTAAAACAAACGGCAAGGCTGCTAAGTGTATAAAGAAGCGGAAGAATTGAAAGCAGTATTGCCGCACTATATACTATAATATTAAGGTACGAAGCCAACTCTTCGAGCGTATAGTAGAAGGCCTCGAATAAATGAAACTACTCTTTATACATCCGAAATCGACGACCGGAATAGACTATCGCTAAGCTTAAACCTAGGCTAGATAGCAACCTGTCCTTAAGATTAGCATCGAAGGCTTGCTAAGCGCAAGAAGAGCTAGGTTTTAGAAGTGCTAGTAGCAAGTAACTGCTATATTTCGGCAGTCTCTTTGCTAAGCTATAGCGACGATATAGCGACTATAAAAGAGGAGATCAATGTCTTATTTAACGGTCGTACTAGGATCGTACGAATAAGATGCTACTACGAACACATTCTCCTCTTATACTAATATATACGAGGGAAATATGTATATGTTCGTAGACTCGTACTTTATCCCTCGCATTGCTCTATCCCCCCGCTCTATAGCTCTATTATCTAGTCGCTAATCTAAACCCTCTTAACCTCAATTTCTTAGCAGATAGCGCTAGAATTCTACCGAAGCCAAGTAGGTACCGTAAGCGAGCTAGCGACTTCTACTAAGCGTAGACCTAGCCCTACGCTATACCCTAATATATAGAGCGGACAGACTAGCTTCGTACGCTCCGCCGATAGCGGCATCGTTAGTACTAATACCGGATCGACGAGGATATCGGAAGCTCTAATTCTTCTAAGTAGTACTATAGCTCTTCCTCCCTAGCTCGTTAAGGCTTTAGCAAATTAACCGACGTACTAACCGTCTAGCGTCGCCTGTTAATAAGATAGTCTATCCTATAGCGGTATTAACGGCGATAGGAAGAGCTATACTCACCCCGCGCATTCTTAAATATAATAGAGGTCGCTAAGTCAAACGTCGACAATAACGCCTAGCTAGGCCGCATTATTAGTGCCAACTCTCAAGACCAGTTATAACGAAGCCGTTAAGGTCCTCTGCTATTACTAGGAGCCGTCGCTATCGTATTAAGCACCTTTGCTAGCTTGTATTAGCAGAAAGTAGCTTAAACGACTTAATTCAATAGTGCCTCTATTATTCGTTTCCCTCTATTAATCTATAAGTAACGCTACCGGTATCTATAGCAATCCGAGAAGGACTTCTACTATATACCTATAAAGTGCTTGTTAGTACGCTAGCAAGTTGAGGAATAAGGGCGTTAGAAGATTGATATAGTAGTAGGATTAGCAGAGCGAGAAGAGAGTTCATTTGTAGTAGTAGAACTACTATGCCTAAACGCTAAACAGAAGACCCGCTAAGAGTATAAAAACAAAGCAAAGAATATAGCCTATTATGCCCGAAGGCTAGCAAACAACAATAGCAAAGCAAAGAAACAAACAAAGAAGTAGACTAGCTGCCGTGCCTAAACGCTAAACACCGAACACCTTTAGTAAGCATCGTGCGACTTACTACTATATTTCAGGTCTTACTGCGCGAACAAGGAAAAGAATTAGTAGGCGGCGAGGCTACCGTAAGCACTACTACCTATCCTACTATCCTTGCTACTACTATAGCTACTACCGAAGCTACTACCGAAACTATCTAGCTTTAGAGCTAGGCTCTTAAGCTCGAGCCTAGGCTCCTCGTCGCGGTAAGAGTAAGGGATCTAAAACAATGTTAGCTTCAAGTCTTAATATTAGTATAAGAAGACAAATGCTATACCTTGCGGAGACGATAGCGAGTACAACTACGGCTAGGCTTCTTAATGTAGGCCTTAATGCCCGACAAATAACCCTAGCATTCGAAGCCGTCGCGACGGCAGGTATCGCACGGGCGAGTAAAGCGACGGCCTAACGTCGTCTCTATAATGCGGATAACGTAGTATAGCTGCGGTAAGCGATTAGCGTAGGCGGCTATAAATATGTTAATACTTAGTTCTATCGCTTGCTTAATTAATACAACTTACGGTCGATAGTGCCCGGAGACTACTACTGTCCTATTACCTAAGCAGGCTTAGGCGTCGTACCTAGAATCGGCGGTCTAGTAGGCTAAGGGCGAGGCACGATAGTACCTCCGGCCGGGATAGGCGGTATATTGCTAACCTGCCCGCTTATTATCGGTACTACGGCCGGCGGAGCGAAGAAAGGAACGGCGGTAGTAGGAGGCGGCGCAAACGCGGCGGCAGTAGGGCTAGTAAAGGGTTCATTCTCACTATAGCATAGTTAGCAATTGTACTAACACGACAGCAGGATAGGAATTAGTTACTTACTCTTCGTTATCGTTACTACTAGCGCTAGCAGGATTGTAGTCGTTACTATAGCATAGTTAGCATCTATTACAACAGCAAGCGGTGCGAAGTAATAACTTACTCGTCGCTAATAGGGCCGAAGTTAATATCGTCGTCGCTATAATATAGTTAGCATGCTAAAACTACTAACGACTAGAGCTTAAAGATACTTACTTGCCGTCCTACGGCAGAGCTAGAGCAGGAGCAGGAGCGGTTGCTAGAGCTAGAGCTAGAACTAGAACTAGAGCTAGAGCAGCTAGAGTAGGAGCAAGAGTAGGTGCTAGTACTAGCGGAGGCTAATAGCTATTATATATATTAGTATTATTCTCGGAGATCGATAGACAAAGATACGTACGTTACTATACCCTAAAGGGTTACAAAGAAGGGGCCGCTTAGATATATTAGTATACGCTCTTGCCGATACGCTAAAGACTAAGATTAGTATACTTCTGCTATTGATGCTGCTACTACTACGTACGTAGACGAGCAGCGACGAGGCGGCGGCGGCGGATTGCGCGACGAACGCGCCGAGTAGCGTACGCCGTTGCTCGCTCCTCCTATATGCCTATTAGCACTATCTCGCCCTCTTAACACCTTCGAAGCTATTAACTAATATATATATCTATGCCTAAGAGAGGGTAGCCGCTAGCGGCCGGAGTAAAGAAAGGACCCGGCATTTTGTTACTTTCTATACTGTTAACGTAGTTCTTGTGTTTAAGGTAATACTATAGACGAGGGTAAGAGGGTATATACGATATCTAGTAGAGGAAGAAGGAAAGGAAGGAAACGAGAGAGAGATCTAAGATATATACCTATAAGACTAAGAGCGGAGTAAGTTATATTGTCCTACTAAGGAGTGACGTAAAACGAACTAACAATAGTATCTAAACCTTACTGCTAGGGAAATGTAGGGCAAGTAATATAATAGCTCGTTCGCTCGCCCTATTATTATAGGAGCGGACTAGGAGGGTTGATGCTTACTCTGCTCTAGCCGCTCTAATCTGCGCCTTCTTATTAGCTGAAAGTTAGTAAGAGTTACTAAGAGATACTGAAACTTTATATAGACAGCTGCTACTAGCGGGATTGATAATAGTAAGGCCCTACTTTTCCTAGCATTTACTATACGAAGTGCCTAGCAGTCGCCTAAAGTAGCAGCAAGTACCCCCGGAATAGCATTGTAGAAGCCCGGGACGTACTTTAATCTTCCGCCGCTCGAAATAAAGCATGCGCTAATCCTTTATAGGCAGGATACGGCAATATACGAAAGTACTCTACGCTAAGCCATTCTCCGGCCGTACCCGCTAGTTACTATACCTCCCTAGGCCCCTATATACATGCTCCTAAAGCTGCTAAGAGACAAAAGGCTATAAGAATGTAGTGTATACTACATCGCCGCGAAGCCGGGCTTACCCTCTTGCCTACTTAGTATATACGCCGCTCGATATACGCGCGCTAAACAGAACGACTCTACTAAGTACCTAGAGCATATAAAAGTTGCTAAAAGTTGCCGAAAGTTGCTAAGGGCTAGCGGAAAGATCACGTCTAGTATAGACAAGCTATTGCAATAGGATTAGTATAATGCGCCTAAGCGGACATATATATATATATACACTAAGACCGAGCGCGCGAGCTACGTCTTACCGTTAGCCTTAATAAAGAGAAGGGCCGCAAGCTAGGCGAGAAGGGTCTTAATAAGCACTATATTATAATTAGATAGACTACATTTCAATCTACCGACTATAAAGGTCGCCTTCTAGCAACCTATACCGCACTATAATCCGGCAGACCAATATAGTAAGCTTCTAGCAACTAGATGAACATCGAATTATAATCCGCTAGGCCCCTAGGCTTCTAGCAATTAATAGCCTACCTTTACGGCAAGGCCTCGTTCGATAATAACTGTCTTCGCAGACTATCTTCCCTACCCGGCAATATACTAGAGCTTTAAACTTGTTAGTTCTAAACAGCGACTCGAGAACATTTAGTAACTTTCATTAAGACTTAGCAACTTTTAGCAAGCCCGGCGGCAGTGCATTATATAGTTTACTCGACGATATCGAGAACTTTTAGCAACTTTTATTAACCCCGGAAGCAGTAATGCTCGACTTCTACGTTTGATACCTAACTTCTGCTCTACTCGATAGCTAGACTTCTACGGTACTTAATAGCTAAAGTCCTACTTTGCTCGGTAGCTAGACTTCTACGTTACTCGGTAGTTAACCGTATTTAATCGTAGACCTCTTAGTAGAGATTAGGTAGCGCAATAGCGGCATTCGATAAAGATTAAGCTACGAGCTTATAGATAATGTTAGAAAGCATATTAGCGGC